ACCAGACCCCCAAATGGCAGGTGTCCCCAGGACCTCAGTTCCCTAAGCTGCCAGGTGGAGCCAGTGCCTGAGCCCACATGTTCCTAGGGGCTCTACAAGGCAGGCATATTAAGGGATTTTGAGTGGATTTTTAAGTGTGGGATATCATGATTGCTGGGCTGGAAGGTGCTAGAAACTAAAGGCTCTGTCTTTGGAGCAAACTAGAGAACAGTTAGTACACTGACTACCATGGGTGGAGCACTGTGGACTATGGCTGCTCTGGAGCAGAGTGGGAGGCTAACCACGCCCCTCAGCACACGGACTTCGTCATCACAGATTCAGGAATCCATTTATTTCCCCCGCCTGACCCTCCTCCCCCTTTCCCACACTCCCACCCTCAAACACCTACTCTGCTGTGCTCAGTGTGTTTTTTCCACATGTATTTTTTATTGTGGCAAAATATATATAACGTAAAATTTACCATGTTAATCATTTTTAATACACAGTTTGTGACATCAAGTAGATCCACATTGCTGTAGAAGGATCGCCACCATCCATTTCCAGAACTTACTCATCTTCCCTTCTGAAACTCTGTACCCATAAACACTAACTCTCCATCTCCCCTCCCCCAGCTCCTGGCAACCACCCTTCTGCTTTCCATCTCTGTGAACGTGACCATCCTAGGTGACTCATACAAATGGAATATACAGTATTGGTGTTTTTTGTTTGTTTGTTTTGTAACTGGCTTATTTCACTTAGCACAATGTCTTCGAGATTCACCCATGGTGTTGTCAGGCTTACTTCTTCTTTCAGGTTGTATGATACCCCATTGTATCTATATACAACATTTTGTTTATCCACTCACCCATCAATAGACACTTGGGTTGCTTCCACCTTCTGGCTAAAGTGGATATTGCTGCTGTGAGCATGGGTGCACAAACCTTGCTTTTGCTTCTTTTGGGTACATACCCAGAAGCAGAATTGCTGGATCAGGTGGTAATTCAATGTTTAATTTTTGAGGAACCACCCTACTGCTTTCCACAGTGGCTGTGTCTTTTTACATTCCCATCAGCAAAGCATAGGGATTCCAATTTCTCCACATCTTCACCAACACTTGTTACTTTATTTTGATAATAGCCATCCTAGTGGGCCTAAAGTGGTTCAGTGTGTATCTTTTTGTATGACTTGTTTCAAAATGTATATAGTTGTTTCATGCACGTGTAATTTTTACATAAGTAGCATTATGTTATTTGTTTCATACTCTGGTAACTATTTTCACTTAAGGTCCACCCATTCGTTGTGCTGCTAACTTCTATCCATGTTTACCGAAAACATAGTATGTGCTTGTGGCAAGCTGCCGCCCAGCATATTAGATTCCTTATAGCAGCCTTAAGAGATAAGCATTATTATTATTTCCATCATATGGGTGAGGAAACTCACACACAGAGGGTTAAGGGACTTGCCCCCAAGTCACACAGCTGGGAGTGATAGAACTAGAAAAATTTTTAAAGATTTTATTTATTTAATTTTAGAGAGAGGGGGAAGGAGGGAGAAAGAGAGGGAGAGAAACATCAATGTGTGGTGGCCTCTCATTCATGCCCCCTACTGGGGACCTGACTTAGCAACCCAGGCGTGTCCCCTGACTGGGAATTGAACCAGCGACCCTTTGGTTCACAGGCCAGCACTCAATCCACTGAACCACACCAGCCAGAGCAGAACTAGAGATTTCACGCAGGTCTGTCTGGTGCATGGGTAGAGCTCACGTATTTGAGGTGCTACCAAGAGCTACAGCAAAGGTCTGAGTGAAGGCTGAGGGTCGCTCTCAGGTGAGGGCACTCTTATGGGAGTTCTGGTCCTGACCTCTCCCCATATTGCAAGTCACCTCCCTTTGCCAGATCCCACTCTCTGTCTGTGTCCGATGGGGACAGAACAATTTTAATGCTCCTTCTAGATTTACCACCTGTGATGAAACAACATCCTTTAGCTAAAGGAAAAATAATCGGAATTAAAGTCAGGTGTTTGTTTCCTTCCAGTTTCCCACCTGGGAGCCACTCCAAACACATGGAAACCCTTTGGCAAGTCCGCCTACGGGGTTCCTTCCTGATAGGACTAACTATTTCCAGGGAAACACAGTTGCTGCCTCTGGTCCCAGCCCACCTCTCTTGAACTTTGCACTTACCATGATGAAAAATTAACTGGGCTAACATTTCCTTTCCAAGGACAACCTCTGCAAGAGCTGGCCTGGCTGGCCCCTGGCGACCAAGCACCAGAACAGAGTTCTGATCCATCTGGAGCCGCCCATTCATTCACTGCCCAAGTCGAGGGAGCACGTGGGGTCTGCTTGGCACCCAGAGGAATCCATCCCTCAGCTCTTCTCATTGCTTGGTGAAACTGGGCTTATTCCCTAGGTTTTTCCCATGGAGAACTGAGGCCAGAGGAGAAAGAACCAGCCCAGAAATGGCGCTTGTTGGACTGACACGTGGGTCCAGCTCTGTTCTTCTGCATGCACAGCTGTCCCTGTCACACAGATGCCAGCATGCAAAGAAAGCTCAGGAAAGCATGGTTAGTCACACTGACTAGCTGCTGACTAGTTCTCTCCTCCCCTCAGGAACACAGGAGGGCTAAATGAGGGCCCTTCCGACGTCATGACTTTAGAGGGCGAGGAGCATGCGAGGCCCTTCTACTGCATTTTGACCCCAGATCTCGCTGAGGCTCCTTGCCTCCCTGGTGCAAATAACCTCCCTTCACCAGACGTTGCTTCTGCTTGTTTAAAGTGAGGGGCTTGCACCGGAGAAGAACAATTTCAATGCCCTTACTAGATTCACCACTCTGCACAATAAGAACCGTTTATCCCGTGTTCACCGCTGAGAGAAGAGAGGCTCAGGGGGTGAAGGGAGGAAGAGAGCCGGGACTGAACGCCACGCCAGTCGCTGACGGAGCTGGAGGTCCTTTCACTTTGACCACCTCCCAACAGTTGGACCTGCTCAGTTTGATTCCGGTTAAAATTAATGTTTTACTGGGAGATTCAACGATGCCTGCACGGGCCCCTTTCTCCCGGGCACACACCTGCCACCCCTATGAGCTCCTGGAGGTTAGGGACCCTCATTGTTCAGTTCAGGTCCCAGAAATGAGTGTGTCCAACTGAACCGAGCTCCCACATCCGCCCCGCTCCCTTTGGCCTTCCCAGGGGCCCCAAGGCGTGGTTCTCCTGCTTTACAACATTTGACTTGTTTGCAAACCTTTTCACATTAGATTCCCCACCACCGTTTCACAGGTGAGCAAACATTTCTTGTAGTGTCACATAGCACGCCTGTGCAAAGGACTTCTGTTCTGCAGAGAGCTCTGTCAATGAGGTCGTCTTCACCTTCCACAACTATAAGGCTGGGTGCAGTGGCCAAGCGTTCGGTTCAGGTCCCAGCTCTGCTACTTGGGATCCTGAGCGCTGTAATCTCTGTAAGAGGGAGGCATAGGGACGTCTACCTCCACAGCCATTGCGGTGGTTAGATCAGAGGGCTGCACTTGGGCTTCCTGGAATGAAGAAAGCCACCAATGTGCCGACTGTCTTCCTTCCTTCACTTTTGTGTTGAGGGCTGGGAAGAAGGGAGCGAAACCGAAGGCTATAGTGTCTGCGGGAAGACCAGCCAGGATGGGAAGCAGGTCCTTAGGCCCCAGTTGGGGTTCAGGGATTCTCCTTTAAGGTCCACGAAGGGGGAGACTTAGTAGGAGGGAAGGGCGGAGAGCCAGGCGCAGCAGCAGCAGCAGCAGCAGCTGACTGGCCTGCGGGAAGCTATTCTCTCCGACGAGGCAGGGGACCCCTGCAGCTCCTGGGCTGACTTTGTGGATTCAGGCCTACCTCACAGGGCTTTGTAACTCCCCAGGCAGGAAGGTTTGCGGATAACTTCTTTCTCTCACTACGGGGATTTCCCGCTGTTAAAAACAAACAAAGGCCTTAGACACCAGGCTACAGGCCTGGCAGGGGAGGGGCCGCAGGAGAAAGGCCCCGGAGGCCTGGGGTAACTAACTCCTGAAAGTAGTTGAAGGCTTTGCGGGCAGATGCCCCTCAGTTCTGACGGTGGAGAGAAAAATCCCCAGAGCTCCCCAAACCCAAGGCTAACTGTTGGATATATAAATTACCCAAGCACTCCCTCTTAGCCCCACTGTTTGCGAGTTCACAGCTTGGGAAACAAAGCTCCCTCTTCTATTCATTAGGTGTCGAATTTCGGATCGTTCTGTATCATAAGATTCCAAACACCCTGTAAGGCAATTTCCTTCCAAAGATAAATTGTAAAACGACCCCATTCATTCCTTCATGAACTCAACAGATGTTTTTGATGCCCATTTTCTACCGGCACTCACAAGGCCCAAGGAACTCCTAGCTTCAGCTATTATCCAGGGAGTCACTGAGATTCCCAAACGTCCACTTTTGAAAGTCCACTTCTCCCCGCCCCCAACTCCCTCCTTGGCACAGTCTCGGGGCTTTCAGCCGTTGTGATCTCAGGAAAGAGAATAAAACAGCTCGGAGGTCGCGGGCGCCCGCTAAGGTCCCTGATTGGGATCAGCGCGCGCGCGTCCAAGTGCGCCCCGAGACTTCCTGGGCCTCAGCCTTCTGTGCGCCCTCTCTCGGACCCGGGTCCTCTCCGAGGTGCATCCCCAGCCTTTGGCCGGATACCGCGCTTTCGCTGCCAATCTAACCCTTTCGGGCCCGCAGCTCTAACCGGGCTTCCTGAGGGTGGGTTCTGCGCCGGGGCCCCTCTCGCCTCTCCTTTCCCACGACTTCCTTTCGGCGCCCGCGGGACGGGACTCAGGTCGTGGCCGCGCGGGGTCCTGCGCGCTCCAGCCAGGGCCGCCTCTGTCCCTGTTCGCCCACGTGGGCGTGCTCCGCGCCGGGCGAGAGAGGCCGGGCGCCCTCCGGGAGGCTGGGGGCGGGCAGGGCGCCCAGGGGAGGAGGTGGTGGGGCGCGGGGGCGGAGGCGGGGAGCCCCGGCGGCAAGGGGGCGGTGACAGCGCTTGGAAAGGAGGCTGCACGCGGATTTGCATGAAACACAGACTGGAAGCGGGCGGGAGCGGGAGCTGGAGCGCGGCGCACGGCCCAGGCCCGGCCCGGGGAGCGAGCGAGGGAGCCGTGAAGGAGGAGGGCAGCTAGGGGCGAGGCTGCCGAGGCGGAGGGATCTGCGCATCAAAGCGATCGGGGCGAGCAAAGTTTGGCTGGGGGTTGGACTTTCCTTCCTGGAGGCGGCACCCAAACAGCCACCCGGTGCGGAAACCCAAACTTTCTTCTGCCACTCTGAGGCTAGCGGCCGTCGCCTCCGCCCCGCGTTCGGGGCCTGCCAGACCCTGTGCCGCTGTCGTCCGCCCGCCGGCTTCCCCCGCCGCCCTTCTGTCTGCCGTGAGAGCCCCGTAGGCTGCAGCGCCGCGGCCTGGCCCGGAGCACCGGCAAGTTCGCCGAGAGTTGAAACGAAGAAGTTTGGGCAGCCCCGGCCCAGCTCCTCTTTGCGCCCCCGGCGTCCCGCCGCGCCCAGCCCCGCCGGGGGCGTCCCTCGGCGCCCGCGCGCGCTCCCCAGCCATGTCGTCCATCCTGCCCTTCACCCCCCCGATCGTGAAGCGCCTGCTGGGCTGGAAGAAGGGCGAGCAGAACGGGCAGGAGGAGAAGTGGTGTGAGAAGGCGGTCAAGAGTTTGGTCAAGAAGCTCAAGAAGACGGGGCAGCTGGACGAGCTGGAGAAGGCCATCACCACGCAGAACGTCAACACCAAGTGCATCACCATCCCCAGGTGCGGGCCCGAGCGACCCCCGCGCTGCGGGGCCGGCGGGGCGGAGGGTGGGATCGGGAGAGGCAGTGTGTGCGAGCCAGTGTGTGAAGGGCGGGGGTGGGAGCGCGGCCAGAAAGGGGACCCCGAACAAAACCGTCTCTGGGTTTGCAGAGATTCAGAGCCTGGGGCTTCCACGCGGCACTCTCACTTCCAGACCTCACACTCGCTTTTCACCTCCCGGGAAGGGGGCGCTGCTGGAATTGGCCGCCCCCGCTCCGGGGAGCTGCGGGCTCAAAGTTGAGGCCCGCTTTGTTCGGCTCCGCGGGCCGGAGCCCCTCCTCCGCCGCCGCCGCCTCCCGCCCGCGAGGCCCGCGCTCGTGGAGGTGGTGGTGTCTCTCCCTTTCTTTTCTTCAGCCCTGTCCCCCCACGTCTTCCCTCCTCAACAGGAATGCAGTCGGTACAGCTGGGGCTGTGGGTGAGGAGCGGGAGCCCTGTGATTGACAGATTCCTTCTTCGTTCTCTCTTTGCCTTCGGGATTAGCATTTTTATTGAGTATTTTTAGACTTGGTTGTGCCAGTCTCCCGCCCCCCTCCGCACACACTCACTTTGGTCGCAGTGCAATGCTCTGACTTTCAAATGAGAGACGAGTGGCAGGGAGTAGGGTTTTCACGTCCCCTTCCACCTTCCCCCCGACCTTTTTTTTGCCCTCCTTTGAGGCTGAGATTTCGGGTTGATGCAGAACAGAGGGGGCTTAGAGCCGACCAGATAACAAAACGCACCCCAGAGTGGGCCGCGCCGTGGCCCTTGCATTCCTGCAGAGCCCTCCTTCCCCGAGAGCTGTGCCATCTGTCTGGACCTCCTTTATAATCCACACCGCGCGGGCTAGGTCGGGGGGAGCTCCCAGATGGCTGGTAGGAGGGGTCTCTGACTTCTCTGCAATCCCCAGGACCTTCTCGTAGTTCAGAGCTGCTCTCTGCCTCGCTGGAGATTGGGGCGTGTGTTGTGTGTGTGGTGGGGGGGCACCCTGGTCTCCGGTCTCTCCCTCTCAGCCCCTCTAACGTCGGACTCTGTGCCCAGGGAGGGCGTGTCTGTGGGGGGGGGCAGGGGGATGTCTTTGGGGTCCTGGGCTGCAGAGGAATGTGTAGAGGGTCCCCACAGGCTTGAGCCCCGCAGAGATTGTCATCCTTGCTCTTGAGCCAGGAGTGGACTCCGTCCTTGGCCACCTGCTTGGAGCAGCTGGGCGAGAGCTGCCAGCCGTGTCAGGCAGGCACAAAGCAACATCTGTCCCGGCAACCCAGGGCAGGCCTTCTCTGGAAATAAATGCCACATATGGTGGGAGCACTGACTTAAAAAATAATAATTTTTTTTTAACTGGGTGGATCCAGTCAATAAAGGGGGAGGGAAGGCGGTGCGCTGTCTGGGAAGTGCGCTCTGGGCCTGTGATCTGGAGCCAGGACTGACTTCAGAGGAGGTGGTGTGATGTGATGGTCAGGGAGCCCTGGGTTCTGGTCCCAGCTCTGGTTCTTATCCCTGCTTTATTCTCTCTGTGGGGTGGGCGAGCGGGCGAATGAGCGTCCTGCTTCTTCCTCCTGAGGAGGGGTCTCTGAAACCTGCCTTCTTAGCCACCCAGGTGCATTGAGGACAAGCGGTTCATGCTTTGCAACAGAAAAAAAATGATAACAGTTAGAAAATGAGCAGCAGTGTAAAATGCTTTACAGTGTGTGGAGCACTTTCACGTGGTTTCATGAAATGAAGAAAGGAAGGAAAGCCTGGAAGACAGATCAGGCAGTTAGGCTTAAGGTTTATCTCATTTTTAAAGTTGAGAAAACTTCAGAGGAGAGAGGTGGAAAGGCTGGCTACAGTAGACATGGGATTCTGACCCAATGTGCTCCTTTTCCTGCCCCCTGCTGCTGTTTACTTTGAAGGTTCTGAATACATTCTTTGTTGAATGCTAAAGGACTGTTAACTAGTGGGGGGGTTGCAAGGGTGTGCGGAGGGCAGCGTGGATCTTTGTTGGTTAGGTTGCTAATGTTCAATCAGAGGGCTGGGGACAGCCGGGGTGCAGACAGGCCTTGCTTTCCCCTGCCCTGGTCAAAGTTTGCCCGCTGGGGGAACGTAGCTTTGGCCTGCTTTTTCCCTCTTCCAAAGGTCTCTGCAGCCTGAGGCCTGTGAAGCTTTGGGTGTTTCCAGAGAGTTCAAGGTAGCTTGCTCCCTGGTCTCTCAACACTCTGTTAGGAGCAGGGCATCTTCTACTTGCCTGGCAGGGACCTACTGATAAGGCAGATTTTTAAAAAATATCTTTTCTCAGTTAGGGAAACTCGGTTGCTTGGGTGGACCGAGACAAAGTGGATTTCCATCCCTGGATTCTGTGCCCACGCCTCTGGGTCACCTTGTCTCCCCTGGCAACAGCTGCTGCTGTTTTGGTCTCGGGCAGAGGACTAAAGGCCATGTCTTGGGGAGGTCTTTAGCTGGCCTCCCACTAGTGATACTGACGTGTCTGGTAAGCCCCATGGATTGTTGACTCGCTTGTCAGATTGTCTGCCTTCTCCAGACTGCCTTTCTATAAGGTATCCTACTGTGTGTGAGGCTGGGGCACTGGGTGCTTCCACGTGCTCTGTGAGATCTGGACCTGTGGGTTGAAAGGAGCCCTCAGTCCAAGGAGATTTTGACAAGCATTTTGGTTAAAATGTAACAGTGAGCAGCAACAGTAACGGGCAGTTATAGCTATGTGTTAGGGCCTTCCAGCCCACACCGCTTGCTTCTGTGTTTCACCAGCTCTACCCTGTCTCCACGGTCAGAGGAGCGGGAGTGATGCAGGCTCATTGAAACAGTGATGCAGGCTTATTGATAGCAGGAACGTGAAAGAGACTGGTGCCGAGGAAGTGGTGAGAAGCTGACTGAGGCACACGAACACGGGGGGCTCTCAGGATACACTGAGGCCTGGCAGGATGGGCAGAGCATAGACACTTTGTAGAACAGAATCTCACTCCTTACCTGCTTGAGTGCCTGAGTAAAGCTACAGGTATCTTCCTGGCCAGTTTATAAGAATGGGGTCAGCAGTTGCCACTGAGGAATGGAGAAGGTGTGTGCATGTCGTGTCAGCCATCAGGAGCCATGCACACTTGAAATGACTGTTCTGATGGACTCTGATAACTGGTGCCTCCACCGATAGATAGGATCGATGCCTCAGCACAGTTGTTAGGAGCTGGACTGAGCTCCTGGCTTGGTTTGTTTGGAAGGGGAGTTGGGCTTGCTTGTGTCAAAGCCCCAAGTCCAGAGGCAAATGGGAGAATCTTCTGATACACACCAAGTCCTGCCTCTTTGTGCTGCTTTTTTAGCACAGCCTCCTCCTGTTACCTACATGGGCTTTGCCAGGCTACTCTCACCCCAGGGGAAAGGGGGAAACGTCTTCATCTTTGACACTCCTTTCTCAGACTTCTGCGGACAGACCTATTGTCAAGGCCGCTTGTTAACCTTGACTAGGAGAGCTGCACACAGGGGCTGGGAAGAGGAGGGGCCCACAGGACAACGAGTCGATGACTGCGGGGCTGGCTTGGAGCCACGGCTGAGCCCAGGGTCAGCTTGACGTTCCCTTGGCATTTGGAACCCTGGAGCTTGCTGCTGCACCCAGAGCGTTTGGGCCAATGCATGTTGCAAACAGCCCCTTGCTCACAATTCCTAATGAAGTGTTAGAGTTGGACTTTGTTGATTCATTGTTATTTATCGGCCCTCTCATGTCTGAGTCACTGTTCCAGGCAGTGGGGGAGGATGCAGAGATACATTTGAGTTGGCTCCTGCCTGTGAGGAGCTTACACTTCAGTACGGGAAACATTAATAGGGCATTATTTGAGTGTCTAACTGCTATTTCTTTCTTGGTCCCAGCCACCAAAAGAGATAGAAACTCTCGTATGGAGTGAAATTTTTTTTGGGGGGGGGGGGTCAGCGGGGACGACCCATGATGAGTTTTTAAAATATTGTAAAGTCACTGTGTTAGAAAACAAAGTAATGATAGCCCTCTCTTTTCTCTGGATCTTGACATCTTAACACCTGGGTGGATTTTGGAGTTCACAGACTGTCCCAGAGCCTTCATGCCTGCACCCGTACAATCAGAGTGAGATAAGACTCGTGGAAGTGTTTTGTAAACCGGAGAGTTTGACAGAAATAAGTGTTATGCTTAGCCCTTTGTGTGTATCATTCATTCATTACTAAATTATTTGATCGTTTATCAAATGCCTCCTATGATGAGCAAGGGAGGACGCCTGTTCTCTGGGAGCTCCATGCCTAGAGTGGGAGACAGACTTGCCCAAAGACACAGGGCAAGAGCACAGCCGAGGGATGTCCAAAGTGCAGGGACAAGGGGGCAGGAGGTGGGCAGAAGAGGAAGGGGTCGGTGTGAGCTGCAATAGCAAAGGAGCACAGGCGGTGCTATCTGAAGGAGGTTTCTGGACTGCAGGTGCTCGATCACCAGTGCTGCTGGCTCATGGTGGTGGTGGCCTACAAGAGGGAGGCCACGACTCCTTTATCTGCCGCCTTTGCTAAGCTGAGCGCTGCTGTGAATAAGTGACTGTACCGCTCGCACGGGAGGGCTAGTGAGCCTGAGCAGTCTTCGACACTGCAGGCGGGTGTTCCCTCTTTGAAGTGAAAAAGTAACTTAGTGCTTTGAACCTGAAATTCAGGTTTCCTTGGTGGGAACAGTGACTGTAGACAGATTAACTCGGAATATAACAGAGTGTCAATAAGAAGTGGACAGCTTGGAGACGACGTGGGTGTTTGGCGCTTCAGAGTTCTGATAAGACCTGGTCTTTCATTTCTCTCTCTTTAAGCCTGAGTTTTTGTACAGTTGTAAGAACTGTTAATAATGTATTTTTGAAAAGTCTTTGCAAGGATATAAAGTTTTAAGTGACAATTCTAATAATAGGAAAACAGCCAGTGAATCCAGTAGTCATTTAGTTCTGATGAGAAATGCATGATGATGATGAAATTGAGAGAATTTGGCTCAAGCTAATCACATCAGGAATCCA